CCAGGTGCATTCGCTTTAAGAACGGTGATGTGCACGCGCTCGAGGTCATGTACAAAATGCTTGGGATCACGGGCAAATGGCTGGATGCTTTCCTAGAGTTGCAGCTGCGTTGGGAGGACGGCTACCTGTGCGTTGCCGAGAACATGCAGGGCGAACTCGACCTCGTGAAACGCATCACGGCTGCGCTGCTCCACATCTGGAGGTTCCGGGCGTGGAGCGATTCAAGGTGGTGCGGGCTGGGGCAAGGCTGCCGCGCGCTAGCCAGCGGGGCTGTCACTGGACTCAAACATCTTGTGAAGCAGGTGCTGGATGATAAGAGTGAGACGAACTATTACATCAAGGGTTTCAAACGGCTCAAAGACCAGGTGTTGTACACGATCATCGTCATAGCTTTGACGAGTTGGCTCAGTGAATCGGTTCTCGTCATGGTGCTCGAAGACGACCGGGTGCCTCTAATCTTGCCGCAGATGGATGGTAAGATCAACGAGATGCGTGACTTTATCCTTGCTGTGTCAGATGATGCGCTCACTCTCCTTGCGAAGTGTTGCGACGGCAGCGTTCGCCAGATGCGCCACGACATCATCATGGCGGTCGCGGTGCAGATTGGGTATTTGATGGCACGGCTGCGGACGTACAGGCGGCCCCCATGGACAGTGTGCAGGGGCGACGTGTTGGAGAACCTCCGCGAGCTCAGGCGAGGCCCGCGGCCGGGCGAACATTTCACGCAAAAAATGCACGACTTGTTGGAGCAAGGGGTTTCGGAGGAGGCTCTCGAGCCAGCGGTCGTCTTACTCGGCAATACTCCCCACTCCTCCCGCGAAGTGGAACAAGCTCATAGTCCACAGTCGTCCTTGGCCAAAGCTCACAGAGCATACTGCAGAAGGAGAGTGTCATCGCGGGCTACTGTGGCGCAGGCCCGCACGCTGTTCGAGGAGTGCCCGTTGTCGAAGAAGCTCGCGCGATGTCACCAGAAAATAGAACGTCTGAGGCGTTCTAGGCCCAACTCGATCAAAGGCAGGCACGCTTACGTCCGCGCCTTGATCGACCAGGCGAAGGCCCATTCGGAGCAGAGGTACAACGTCAACCACAAGCTCACGAAGGCTGTGATACAGGGGCATGGTCGAAGATGGAAGGAGCGCGGGGGTCTCGTACATGTGATGCCGATGCTTCCTGATGGGCAGTGCGATCCCCCCCATGATCACGATCAGGTTTTGATGCCCCCCCAACCATAGTTTTTTGGAACGTTTGTTGTAGACTTCTGTTTGGCGCACCGCACAGGACAAGAGCGCGGCGCAGAAGAACCTTTACGAGTCGATGGCTGTCTACATGCAGGAGGACAAAGTTGATGTCGTGCGCGCTCAGCTCCAGGAGCAACTTCAGTTGAAGCGAGATATCAAGAGGGAGCTCGCGGAGAAAGCGGCCAAGGAGTCTGGGCGACTGAGCTCGGGCTCTTGCCGCTTCAGCGCTGCCCAAATCAGTGAATTCAACGACCTGTGCGCGTCCAGCGAGTGGTCGGAGGCCCGCCTCGACGAGTTGCGCTCGCGGGCTTGCAGACCAGTGGGGCCGCCACCGGAGTGGAAGATCAAGACGCTGGAGGCGATGGACATCCCCAGCGCAGGGCCGAAAAACCGTTATCCAGATTGGGTACCTCTTGTTTGCACCAACCGCGAGTACTTCTCGAGGTGCTTGCTGCGAGTGTGGCGCGGTGAGGAGAAGGACGATTACAAGTTCGTCTATGGATACAAGCAACCTTGGCTCATGTGCTGCTGCGCGGTGCACGAGGAAGAGGTCGAGTTGCATGCGGACGCCCTCCCGCGCGTGGGCTACGCGGCCGCCGACGTGCATGTATTCGACCACCGCTTCCGATGGGATTGGGTCGGCGGCTGGAGCTATTCCGACGACGGCGTGTTCGACGGTGTCGACAGGGTCCAGGTTCTCAGCGACTGCATCTGCATGGACGGGTACATCGGCTGCGACGGCGAATGGACTAATCTTCTGGATTTGCTTGACATTTTGACCCCTGTTGGCACCGCTGGCGCACAGGAGGAAGGCGACTCTGGGCACGGGCCGGGTCCTCTCCCCGCGCCAGATCCATGGATGGAGGACCCTGCGATGTGGCTGTTCTACTGCGACGCCGAGGCCAAGGGGAGGGAGAAGCGGGCCGCTGGCGAGCCTGATGACAGCGACTCCACGCTTTCGGACGATGCCGACGCCCAGAGCCTGGGCTCGGACGACTTGGACGAGATCGACGCAATGGAGCGTCTGTGGGAGCGGCGACTCGAGCTGGAGAAGGTCGCCCTTGTACCCTTGCCAGACCTCTTCACCTTCACGCTTCGTGGGGGTAAGTGGACAAAGAAGAACAAAGGCGTCGCCTTCGACGCTTACATGGCGTTCGCTCGAAAAGGGCCGGGCCGGGCATTCGTCCGGAAGTATGGCATCCAGGCTTCCAGGAGCTACAGCATTCGCTCATATGACGAAGCGGCGTGCTTGACCATGGTGAACGCATGGATCCACAAGTTGTCGTATTTTTACCAGAGGTATTTCGATGACGGTTGCCGGGATGATTTCCGGTTTCGGGCCGGGGACATCCAGGGCTATCAGGAACCGCCCGAGCTGACTGAGCTTGCTAGGGGGGCTTCGCCGCAGCTCGCCGTCCGCGTGCGGGAGTTGCGGGCGATCCGGCCGAGGGGAGTTGCTTGACGAGGCTCAAGCGCGCTTATCCAACGCGATATCCACCAAAACGCTCCCCAAATCCCGCTCCAATATTTCTAAATAGTGAATTCAATCTTGTAGATTTTGGGGGAGGTTTTGGGACAGGTTTTGGGGAGAAGGTTTTTCTTTTGTGGGGGGCTTCCCTCGGGGGCCAAATCGGGCCCCGAAAACTCTTCCCCAAAACTTCCGCCGCGCCTCCCTGGCCGAAGTTTTGGGGGGCCTTCTCTCTGGCCCCCCCCCCTTTCTCCTCGCGTCCCTGTCGGGGCGCATCGGGACGGCACCTCAAAGAGGCATCGAAAATCAGGGGGCCCAGGGACCTCGAAGAGCTTCTGGGGGGCTGCGGCGAGGGGGGGAAATTCGTTACGTTTCCACCCCGTGCCTTGGGTGGAAACGTAACGAATTTCCCCCCCTAGAAGAAGTTCTGGGCTGGCTGTGGCGAGGGGGGGAGTTCGTTACGTTTCCACCCCGAAGAGGTTGAGGGCTGGCTGTGGCGAGGGGGGAAATTCGTTACGTTTCCACCCCGTGCCCGGCTGGCCACCGCGCCAAATCTTCGGACATTTTCGAAGCCAGCCGTCCCGGGCAGCTGGAATCAGAGTCGGCTCCCGCCCGACCCCGCGGCCCCAACGCCACTTCAGCTACATCTGCATTGCGCTCCAGCGCTCCATTTTACGATCGGCGGTGTTGATTTTTACGTCCGTTGTTGCACTGTTTCGCATTGCCTTGCTAAGTTGCGCTGAGTGGCGGGCGCAATCCAATCCCTCCAGTTACCCCTCCTTCCCGCTCCCCGCCCTCTTTGCTGGGCGGCGCGGTGGGCTCCCCCATATGACAGTCGCAGTGCCTTGCCGTATCCCAGCCCCCGCTTTGAGCCTGCAGAGGTGTTCCGTTCGGACGGGGCCGTTGCCTTTCCTCCCCGCCCCCCTCCATTCCCGCTGTGTCGTTTCCCCTGCCTCTCCCCCGCTCCCTGGAGAAGGGGAGGGGGAGGAGGAGAGGATGAGGCTGAGGATGAGGAGGGTGAGGAGGCAGCGTGGAACTCAGCATCTTCACCTGAGGCATTTGGGGGCCGAGTTTCGTGACGCCAGTGCGCTTCGAAACAGTATGGTGGCAATCTAAACGGTCGCGGTGGCAATCTAAACGGTCGCGGCGGCCATGGCATTCTAAACGGTCGCGACCGTTTAGATTGCCATCAAAACTCGCGCCAGCAACGACGTGCGTGCCCGGGACTGCACAACTAGGACGATCACCGACGCGTCAACCTCGAGTGCAAGCAACCCTGGAAACATGAAGGGGGAAACTCTGTACCAAACGGTTGTTTTGTACAGACTTTCCCCAATGCGTCTTGGCGACGCTCAGAGCGACAAAACGGGTTAGTCGCAGCCTGCAGCACGACTCTGTCATATCCTCGGCTGATACATGATCGCTCCCTTCTGCGACCGGCTCCAAACGGAGAGATGCGGCCACACGAGGGAGAATGTTGAGCCGTTCTGGAGGCCATCTTTGGCCGTCTTGGAGGCATCTTGGGCCATTTTGGCGTTGATGGTTTGGGCCCATTTTGTTTACGAGGGTTCGTGGCCTCGGGAGCGCGGGCCCATATATTTACAGTTGGGACTGGGTCCCATAGGAGAGAGGAGCTGGGCACCCAGAAGTCTGAGACCAGGACGGGGGTGTCTTTGGGGGCCCCTCAGCAGAATACGGAAACCCTACCAGACAGTCCGGAGGCGCTGTAACACGCCACTGCCGCGCAGGCGCGCCAGCGGATGAATGCGTGTTTGTCGGCCCTGCTGGGCACTGGCCGGCTGTGCGTGCAACCTTTTGTGCGCCGTTGGAGGTCTTCGATGGGGGTCGTTGCCGTTGGAAGAGTTTCCCCACCGGTCTGCGCCAGCAGCTGAGAAGACTTGAGGCGTATATGATCCCACCACAGGCCGAGCTCGATTGAAGACCATTCCGCGTTTTCACTCTTCGGTAACGACAGGCTATCAGTGTAAATGTTTGCCCCGCCCCTCTTGGAGCATATCGGAGCATGCCAGTACATCGTGCCCCCGACTGGCAGCGCAAATATGTGCGGCACCTCATTGACATCTTTCGTGCCCCTCAGTTGTCACAGCTGGCGGGTGATGGGAGATAAGGGGCCACGATTCCTCCCTCCTCCTTCTCGTCTTCCTCCCCTTGCCCCTCTCTGCCTCCTCCTCCCTCCGTTATGCTCCTCCCTTCCCCTCCACAGCCGTTTTTGTCTCAAGGGGCGTCGTGGCACAACGCTTCGGAAAGCAACATAGACCTACAGCGGCCTCAGCATGGTGAAGGCCATGAAGTCCAAGAAGGCCGCCAAGGCAACCAAAGCCGCCGTGGCCCGAAAGGCGAATGCCAAGGCCGCGGCCACCAAGCGGCTGCAGGACAAGGACGACCTCGACGAGATGAAGAAGGGGGCCCAGCGCGCCAAGAAGGGCAAGCGCACCATCGACGAGGCCACAGAGAAGGCCGTGGCCGACAACTTCCCCGGATGGACCGTGACGGAGACTCACGTCAACAAGCTCGGCATTGAGGGCACTGTGTTTGACCAGGTCAAGAGGGACAAACTGCGCAAGCTGGACGGCGAGGACATAACCATGGGGAAAACGTACTACAACGACCTTCGCATCAAGAACCAGGATCCCAACTCGCCCCTGGCACAAATGCAAGTCGAAGACGACAGCCAGGAGATGGACGAGTCTCTCGAGGCCGCCTTGATCATATCATCGGCCATCTAAGCCAAAATGGCAACATTATCAAACAATGCACACAATTAAAACATGCATTGGTCTTTGGTACGTGTTTTGTTGTTCTCTGTCCGCAGGCTGCGATCATGGACCTGCTCGAGACGAAGCGTTGCTTGATCCTGTGGCACGATTGGTGCGAGAACGTTGCTGATGTGAATCAGCGCAACTTCGCTGCTGCGGCGCAGCAGGTCTTGAAGACACCCCCGATGAAAAACTTGGACAATGCGCAGATTTGTTTGAGCTTCTTGAGGCTCATCCTGCGGCTTGGCCTCCATGAGAAATTCAAGAAGTACACCGACCTCATGCACGACCATTTGGATTACTCCGTGGTGAAAGAGCTGCTCTCCTACAAGGCGCAGGGCAAGACGTCGTACGAGTGGTGGTGCGAGGCGTCCGATTACGCGTCCCATTTCGCCCCGAGGGCCGAGACAGAGGTGTGCTTCAAGCAGGAGGGGAAGTGGACGGATTGCCAGGACCAGCTTCGAAAAGTCACCGCTTCAAGCTTCATCGGGGCGCGCTTGTTCGGGCGGGCGCTCAAACAGATCGACGTTGACCGCGGCGCGGTGCTTGTCGACAGGGCCATCGTATCGCTGGAGGCCGAGGCCAGGATCAACAAACCGGTCCTTGCAACGAATCGCGCAGGTCGCGTTGACGATACAAGATTTCCGCATAATCCTCCTCCTCCTTTCTATTCTTCTCCCCCTTATGTCTCATGTCCCTGTCCCCCCCCTCTCCTTTATATCACTCCCCTCCCCGCAGCCCCCTTCAGCCGTCCTTTTCCTCCCCCCCCCCCCGCCTCCCCCTCATCCTCTTCTTTCCTTCCCCCGATCCTGCTTCCGCCCTCCTCCTTTTCCTTCTCCGTCCTCTTCTCCCTCCCCTTCCCTCCTACTGGCCTCAACGTAGTCGTCAGAGGTTTCTTGAGGTCCATGAAGGACGAGGGCATGGACGCGAACTCCCGATTCCCCAAAGTCCGCATTTTCGACATGAAATATCGTGGATCCCCTTCGCCAGCGCCGTGCATTTCGCACTTGGACTACTACACTTCCGCGGTGGAGTCACGCTGCCGCGCGTGGCTTGTGGAGAACGGGAAGGTGAAAAAGATGTGGTGCGAGGACCAACTTGCTGAGCGAGAGCCCGTGCAGAAGGATATATCCGACGCTTGCATCAGCAAGGGTGGCAAGTTGGTGCGGCAGACCCTGGCGGACTCGCTCGATGACGACGAGGCCTCGGCAGTGTCCATCATGGCGCTCATGAAGAAGAAGCGCTCGTGGATGGACTCCAACGACCGTTTCAGCAAGATCGAGCGTGGCTTTTGGGAGGCGGTGACGGGCACCATGGCGCAGTCGCGCTTGGAGGGCAAGGTGATCGGGTGCTTCCCCACCCCGCCCCTCCGCAAGAAGGATTCGGAGATCTTGGCGAACTTCGAGAGTATCAACACGTCCCAGCTGCTGTACTTTTGCGGCGCGTCCTCGAAGTCATGGTGGACGACGGTTTACGGCTACGTGAAGGCGATCTGCGCCGGCGCGGCCCCGGGGCTGGAGAAGGCCAAAGAGTCGGACTTCATGACGAAGTTCCAGGAATGCCTCAAAAACCAATGCGAGTTCGAGGAGGCGGCTGGCAGTGATGGGGCGGCGGGGACGCTCTATGGCCAGGCCGCCATCGCGAAGCACTACGAGGCAGTGAAGGCAAAGATGCAGGATGCGGAGGCCAAGCTCGTGTACAAGGACATCAAGGAGGTCATCAAGTTCGGTTGGGCCCTCGCGCCGAGCGAGAGGCAGTCCGCGGCGAAAGCTCTGACCCTCGCTGGCCCCAAGGGGAAGAACGCCGACGAGAAAGATGCCAAGGCCAAGAGTCCTGCCGTTAAGAAGGCGGCGGATGATAAGAAGGCTTTGGTGAGGTCTCTGTTCATGAAAAGGAGCCCGCCGTGATGCGATTTAGCTTCCGACGCGGCGGGCGCTTGCTGCCGAGTTATCCCGCGCAGCATCTGATCGTAGCTATGCGTGTATAGCTTGGGGGGGCCTTCCGTGCATGGAAGCACGAAGGAAGGTCAAGGGTCTACTTTGCTAATCGGAGCGGTCGCGGGCTCCAGCTCGTTTCATCATGTAGGGGCTCGGGTGTGAGAGGGCTTCCACACGAAAGTTGGATGCAATGCCGCTTGCTGGTGCGCCTCGGCGGATACTTCTGTGGCTGCGCGCTCGTCTTCTCACGTGGGCTCTAGCAGGGCGTAGGCAAAGCTGGGCAACCTCGTGCGAATGGAGGTGCCGGCGACAGCTTGCGGCCGGGGGAACAACGAGCTCCAGGTTTCTTGCAGCAGAGAAATCATGTGTCGTATCAGTCGTGTTATGTTGCGGCCGGTCTACCTTTCAATGGTTGCACGCATGCGGAGTTCTACGCTGTCTCTCACCTCCAGCTCCCCTTCGTCCTCAGGGGAAGGGAGGCGGGCGGGAATGCGGGAGGGCGCGGGGGGATTGGGAGGAGGGGGAGGACGAGGAGGAGGGGGATGAAAAGGAGGAGGGGGATGATGAGGATAACGAGGAGCAGGATTTTTTTTAGCACGCGCTTCGTGGAGCCGAAAGAAGGCCGACCACGAAATCCCAGAAGGCCGTGCCTTGTCATTCGAATGATGGTCCCAGCCTGGGCCCGCATGGGCCGCACAGGGCTGGACTGTGCTCTTCAATGCCCGTCCTTCTCGCTAGATGGGGTTCGGGGCCAAACGCCGTCGCCGCCGTGGCCGCGACGTGGAGACATGAACGCGACGAACGCCACCGCTGCGACAGTTCCTTGTCGTCGCGCGAGTCTGCGGCGCCAGCCTCCCACCACGAGGCGCATGCTAGGGGCGTGCCGTCGCAGACAGTCCCTCCCGACCGCGCCCCAAACGGCGTTGGGCAACAAAACCACAACGCATTTGCCAGAGGGTGGAACTCGACCACACGTGTGATTTGGGCGGCACGCCCCATGCCACAGCAGGGCGCATTGCCCAGATCTTGAGCCGCCGCCAACGACAGGGGGCGACATCATCATGCGGCGTCATGCAGGCGCCGCGTTTCCTTTTCCCGAACCCCCGCCCCGATCGGGCTCTAGCGTGGCGATGTTCGTGGGAATACGATGCGATGATAATGATTCCTTCCCTTCCGCGTTGTGCCGCGGGCGTTGCGGGCGTAGCCGGGCGCCCAGTTGCGCGCGCGGCTCATGCAGCCCCCCGTCTGTTAGGGGAAGATTTTGGCGGGGGCCCTTCTGGCAGGGTGTCTGAGGCGACCAACCGCCGCGGGCCTGGCGCCAATGGGGCCGCGGTGATAGGCGGCACCCCCGCCGTACACCGTGCTGCCGCCTGTCGGGACGCGCGCGGGGGAGCGGTAGCGTGGCGTGCTCGGCTGACCTGCGTCGCGTTGGTCGCGCTGCTGGATGCGCTGCTGGTGCTGTTGATAGCGCTGCTGGTCGGCTCTCGAGAGCGGGCGGGTGTCGGGGAGGATGGTGGGCACGTCGGGCCGCCGCCAGCCCTGATAGACGTGCTCGAAGGCGTGGTCTGGGTAGGTCTCCCCGACGGGTGAGTATCGCCGCACATGCTCCATGTAGTCAATGTTCTGCGGCTCGGGGAGCACCGTGATGTTTACAGCTCGCTGGTGCGCTGGTCCATAGAGACAGAAACTACCACGGTTGCTACGGTCGTGGTTCAGCTCAGCTTCGGTCGTGGCACGGCTCACCATGGCGTCGCAGAGGCGCATGTCATAGTCGAGAGCTTGAGGCCCAGGGCCGCCCTCGGCGTCCCAGTACAGTACCACATCTCGCCAGCGGGTGCGGGTAGTGTGGATGCGCTCGGCGATAGCCTCGCAGACGGTCCTGACTGTGACACGATCCCTGTACATGTTGGTGATGGCCAGGGAATAAGGTCGGCGGACCGTCTTGTTGAAGGTGAAGTCTTCCTTGAGGGCCTGGTGGGGGCCGAAGAGCACGTAACCTTCCCTCCAGAGCGGTTGGTCGGGGGGCGGTTCTTCAGGCATCCCCGTTCCTGTGAACCCAGGTGGCCGCCTCGTGCCGTCAGGCAGTCCCTGCCTGGGGACGCGCCGCGGCCTCGGTGGAAGGTACCATTGACCCTGGTAACCTGCTTGGCCTGGTTGTGGAGGCTCCCCCCCGGGGCCTGAAGGCGCTCGGGCGGGTTCCTTGAGGTCGTGGTGGGCTGGCGCGTTGCCGTATTGGCGGGCAAGGATGTGCGGATGCATCCCTGTGGCACGGACGTCGAACAGGCTGTGCGGACTAGGCGGATGGGGGCACCTGCTGGACAGGCAGCATGTGTTGGAGTCCCTGTTGTCGGTGCTGTATGCACACGTCCAGCTGTTGCAAGAGTAGTCCGTGGACCAGTCCATAAGTGCACGTAGTCCGCTGAGGGCGCAGTCTGGGCACGTTGGTTGGCCCGAGGTGCCGAGCTGCGTGTTGCGGCGGGCCGCACAGTACTGACAGCATTGGAATCGGCACTGTAGGCATGACCAGCGTCCTGGTAGGGGCGGGAGCGCTTGCTCGTTTGTGCCTGGGTCGTCTGGGTGGGGTCGGGGTCGATCCCACAAGCGCCAGACGTCGGCAAACCAGGACTGGCCTGTAGTGCGGACGACCTCGGCGGGGAGGCGAGCGTCGTCGGCATGACGCTCGATCCACTGGGGCCCCATGTCCGCTGGTACCATGACCGTGCGCCAAGTGTCGTCCGCCTTGACGTGGACTTGGGTCGGTGCCCAGAGCTTGGTAGTGGTATCGCCATGGTCGTGGTGGAGGATGACCCAGCCGTCGCGACCCGCCACCGCAGGGTCGATAACGCGATGGCCCATGACGGTCGTCCCCCACGGTAAGTAGGCGCCATCGTGGTGATCGCCAGGGTCAAGCCAGACCTCGATGCCGGGGGCATTGACACGGGCCCGCACATCGCGGACGTGGAAGGCGAGAACGTGGTAGGCGGTCGGCTCCTCTTCCGTCTCGATGTGCTCCCACGTCTCGATGTCGCTGTTGTCCGAGGTGGAGTTTCCGCCACTCTGCCGTGACGAACGGGAGGGGGATCGCCGTGGGCGGGCATGGCCTCGGGCGAGGGCGGCGGCCGCGCTGATGAGGGAAGGCGCACGGCGGTCGTCGGCTCCTGATGTCGTCGATGAGCGGTCTGGGCTGTGTGCCAGGGCGGTACCTGACTGGTAAGTGCGCGGTGGGCCAGACGCGGCCCCAGGGCTGGAGCCGCTGGGGCGCGACTCACGTGCGTCGGGATGCCCCCGCACGGGGACGGCTTGCAAGCCAGTGTACACCAGGTCGATCAGTGGCTGCGGGTCCAGCTGGAGCTTGCGAAGCGAGACGCGTGGACGGGGCTGGTTTGGGTCGGCCCTGGTGGCTGCTTCAGTGTCGTATTGCTGTTTGGCCCATGCTCGCGCTGCCTCTGGCGAGTATAGTGCCTGCGGCGGTGGCCACGCTGCCGCGATGTCCAGCCTGCGCCGAGTGCTAGCTTCCTGGTCTTGGGCTTCAGCCGCCTCACGGAGATCTGGATGATCGTAGCCAGCGATGTGGAGGGCGTGCGCACAGTCGCCCATGCCATAGGCTTGTGGTAGGGCACGGCACCTGGAGGCAGCTTCCGTGGGGGCACACCAGTCCATGCGGATGAGGAGGCCCAGGACCCGAGGGTAGATGAGGCGCGCTCCGTGGGCCTCCCCTTTCACGAAGTTGTGCCAGTTCTCACCGCGCGGTGGTTGGGTGGCCTCGCACATCCAGAGCGCGATGGGTCCCCACGCGAGGGTGTCGTCTTCGAGGCTGTAGGGCGGGTGGGGCGGCACTGCGTACCACGCGGCCAGCGACGGGTGCACACTCACGTACGTGCGGCCAACATTTGTGCCAGTTCGACCCTTCGCTTCACGGCGGGGGCCTGGCAGGAGGTGCCCTCCGTTGACAGCGAGACGGGCCGCAAGGTCGCCGCGGGTCCCATGCCAGAAGACAGTGGGCGCGTCGGTGGTGGGTTTACGGAGGTCCCACGTGAGGTAGGGGAAGATCGTCTCGCCTGAGTTCCCGCCCGAGTCTTCGAGCACCCAAGTGAGGCGGTTCGGGGGCCTCTGCATGATGTCAGTCCACGGCCCCAGCGCTTGGAGTGTTAGATCATGGGTGAATCGAGGATGGTCGTGGAGTCGCAGAGCGTCTTTGATGTCCTCTGTAGACACGCCACTGTTACCAAGCGCAAAGCCGTTTTGGTACAGGGCGTTGAGGATGCTCGTCGGCGGCACGGGGACCGCTGGGTCGCGCTGGATAGTGTTGCGTAAGTTGCGCGTCGGTGGCTTGAGGGCTAGGTGGGGCGTACCAGGGCCTGAAGGCGCCTGGGGCCTGGCGGGTGATGCATAGCGTGCTCGCCGGCGTGGTGGTTGGGTGTCCGTGTCGGAAGAGGAACCACGAGCATCTGCATGTCGGAAGATGGACCACGGGCTGTCGCGGGTGCGCTCACGTGGTTCCCTTGCCTCGGCGTCGCTGGCGTGGGCTGTGGCGTCTTCGTGAGTCGGTGGGTTACCATAGGCCGCGCCGCTCGTGGGGCCATCTCGCAGGGACGGGCTGGTCGATCGTGGTGTGACAGACGAGGCTCGCGATACCGCGGCAGTGACTTCGACAATGGCGGCGGTGGTGGCGGTGGTGACATCGGCGACTGCGGCGGCAACTGCAGCGGCGTAGTGCTCCTGTAGCAGCGGATGTCGAAGTGAGTGCACGTGCTGGCTATCGGGTTCGTCGGGAAGCGTGCGCGGCATTGTGTATGTGGCCTCATCGCGCGGCCTCCTGCTCGGTTGGCAACAGCGGAGGCACCACTGGGCTGTGGATGAGTCCAGGGCACGCGCACAGATGCGGGCTCCTACGTGTCCAACGGCTCCTTGAGCGAGGAGTTTGGCGCCGACCAGTAGAAGACCGCACACCACTCCACCAGTGGCAATAG